TTCTATTGCTGATAATGATGTTCTAACCGAAAAGCCTGTCAGGCAGTTAATTGGATGTATTATGTACTTAATGCTAGGGACACGACCTGATATTTGTTCCCCTTTAAATTTTTTTAGTAGATTTCAGGATAGGGCAATCGATAAAATATGGGTATATTTAAAACGAATTCTCAGATATTTAAGTAAAACTTGTAATGTAGGACTAGAATATAAAAGAGCAGCAAATACTTCTAATTTAATATGTTTTGTAGATTCAGATTGGGAAAGTGATTCGACTGACCGTAGATCTGTCACTGGATTCTTATTTAAACTTTTTGATAACACAATACATTGGAGAACTAAAAAATAAAGTTGTGCAACACTATCTCCAACTGAAGCTGAGCTGGTTGCATTATGTAATGCAGTAACTGAAGGTATATGGTTAAGAAAATTATTGCTAGATTTTAATATAAACGTCAGTCCAGTCACTTATTTCGAAGATAACCAAGGTTGTATTGCCTTGATAAGAAACCCAGCAAATAATGGAAGAATTGAACATATCGACTTGAAATTCATATTTGTATGTGAACATTTGGAAAAGAAACACATTGATCTAAAATATGTTGAAACATTCATGCAGGAAGCAGATATTCTCACAAAAGGTTCACAATGTTTCTTTCTCAAGATTAGGGCTCCGGGATTTTAGCGTCGGGGGGTGTTGAATGTAACACTAAAATCCTAGAGATATTCAGGTTGGTATTGATAGGTTGTCAACATGTCAGTGTGGTGACATATGAAGTTGACTTGATGTGGATATATAGACGACAGAATACTTTTGCGGTGTGTGGTTGATCATCTTTGGTTTTGTAGTACAAATAAATATAATGGGAATAAAAAGCACAGCATGGTATCGATATAGTGTTTTATTTATAGAAAATACTATAAGAGAATGAGGAATTAAAAGTTAATTTGCACAAAAATCAAAACAAAGATACCTAGAAGATGGCCTCTTGGAAAGAGATAAAGATCCATTAACATGGTGGAGGCAACATGCCTATAATTATCCGTTCTTGAGTAAAATTGTTATAGAAAAAATGGGATCGGTGGCGACTTCTGTACCGAGTGAGAGAATATTTTCAAAAATGGGACAAATATTAACTGAGCGCAGATCAAGATCAACTTCCCACAAAGTTAGCAAACTTGTGTTCATGAATGTCAACGTGTAATTCATTTATTGTTTTGTGAATCACTAGACAACTTATTTTGATATAAGAACTTTTACCTATGTTCCAGAGTATTTTTAGTTTTGTTTTATACATGTCAATCGAGTTATTTTAATTAGAGGTAGTACAAAGTTATCTGCCCACCTTAGCGAAAACGCCGTATCTGCGAAAATCTAAAAATATCAACTATTTACATAATTGTGGTCGAAATAAGATTATACACCAGGGATGGCCAAGAGGTCGACCGCGGTCTACCGGTCGACCACGGAGGCGATCGAGCTAGCACGCGAGAGTTAAATCAACTGAATAGAAAAATATGAAACAAGAACGGTCGTAACGTGGTACGTGGTTAGTAAGGGGTGTGCGTAAGTGTGAGTCAGTCGTGAAAACGCGACTCACCGCCCGTATATCCCTGCCTCCGCAACAGGTTTCGACATGAGTGCGAACGGATAACGATCAATTTGTTACGTCGCGATAATAAAAAACTTTATGTAGGAATCTTGTGAAGACTTGGTGTTTTCTAATTATTATTATATCAAAATGAATAGGCCATCCAGTTCGAGTGCAAAAAAAGTAAGACTGACCATTATCACAGTGAGTGGAAAGAGGATTTTTTTTCGTAATGGTCAGGGACAAATGTGTGTGTCTAATTTGCAACTCAAGTGTAGCATTACCGAAAAGAGCAAATGTTGAAAGGCATTTTAAAACTACACATTCCAAATACGCCACCAATTTTCCATTTGGCAGTGAGAACCGAAAGATAAAACTAAGCGAATTGAAGAGTAGCTTAAGTGCACAACAACATTTCTTCACGAAACCAGACTCGAAATCGAAAGCTGCAACACTGGCATCATTTGCTATTACAGAAATATTGATAAAACGAAAGAAACCTTTCGAAGATGGGGAAATGATCAAGGAAGCCATGCAGGGAGCTGGAGAAGTACTTCTCAATGACTTCAAAAACAAAAAAGAAATCATTTCAGCAATAAATGACATTTCACTGTCACGAAACACAGTAATGCGAGGCAGTGAAGCCTCAAGTGAAAATTTGGAACAATTACTCAATGAAGACTTGCAGAAATGTTGTTTCTTATCACTACAGTTTGATGAATCTACCGATGTAACCGACATTGCTGAATTGTGCGTATTCGTGGGTCTAGTTTTTAAAGACATGACGACAAGAGAAGAGTTATTGACGATGATTCCATTGAAGGGGCAGACCAGAGGTGAAGATATCTACAGATCTTTCAAGAGTTTTGTCGAGAAAACTGTATTTCCGATTCACAAACTAGTTGCTATCACGACAGATGGAGCACCCGCTATGCTGGGACAAAGAGTTGGTTTTGTTTCATTGTGCAAAAATGATAACAACATTCCAAGTTTCACCAACTATCATTGCATTATACACCAGCAAGTCAGATGTTATTATGAAAATTGCTTTCAAAACAGTTAATTCTAATCGAGCCAGAAGTTTGCAAAGGCGTCAATTTCGAGCTCTTCTTCAAGAGACTGAAGCCGAATACTCAGACCTTTTGCTACATACAGATGTTAGGTGGCTTAGCCGTGGTGTCTTTTTGAAAAGATTTCGCCAATTACTGCCAGAAATCAAGACTTTTATACAATCGAAAGGAGAAAATGTTCCTGAGCTGGAAGATGAAACATGGCTCATGAAACTGGCTTTCCTTTGTGATATAACAAAAAAACTTAATGACTTGAACCTGAATCTTCAAGGAAAAGACAAATCCGTAATTGGCATGATTACTTTCATCAAAACTTTCAAGAGTCAAATGCAATTGCAAAACATCTCAATTAAAACGTGGCGAACTGAAACATTATAAAAACATGGAAGAAGAATGTATGTACGCACAATAAAAATCGGGACTTTGAAACTTTCGCTGAACAGCTGGAGAATTTGCACCTGGAGTTCGAAAGAAGGTTTGCGGATTTTGCCGCTCTAGAAGAAGTGCTAAGTTTCATGGTTTTCCCTTTTGATGAAAATATTGACATTGAAAGCTTGACCGTTAAAATCAGTAAACTTAACTGATGCCGAATCTGTTGTGGTCGAAGAAGAAATAGTTAAAATAAGAAGCGACATATTCTTGAAAGCTAGAGCATCTGGTAGTACAGATTTTTGGAAACTGATTCGCAAAGAAAAGCTTCCATGCCTCAGAAGGGTAGCTTTATATTTGACGTCGTTTTTCGGATCTACCTATCTTTGTGAATCAACATTTCCAACTATGAATGCAATAAAAACCAAACATCGTTCCCGCTTAACAGACGCTCACCTAACTTCCTGTTTGCGCATCGCAGTTACTTCGTACACTCCTCAATATAATAAACTTGTGGAGAATATGCAGTGCCAAACATCCTCCCAAACACGTGAAACGCACTGAAAGATGTGAATTTCTTATGTAAATAAATACTCAGAAATTTATCACAAAAATGTTTCATTCCCTTCGTCTATACTTTACCTTGCAGTCGACCGCAAGAAATATTCTTGAACACAAGTAGACCGCCCAGGTCAAAAATTTGGCCACCCCTGTTATACACCTTATTTACTTATATATATATGCCGCAAGTCGATCCAAAACATGTAAAAAACATCACATTCCATGCCGTATCTACAGAAATGTGCATCGATATTTAGGATAAATGCATTATGTGAACAATACTTGGGCAAAACGCCGTATCTGAATCTCACTTGCCGCCTTTTTCTCAAGCAGGCTGTGGATGCGGCGTTCTGGCTGAGCATCATAGGTTTATAAATAATATTTTAATAAGATCTATCACTAGTTTGTTAGTTTTCAACGGTAGCAGACGATTGATTTCTACTGTAAGTATTTAAAAATGATTTCGAACCGAACAAAATTAATAGGGCTAATTGGGGTAATCACAAACAGGGGCAATCTTGAACACGTTCAATATCATTTGAATTTGGCGCCTACGAATGACGCCGAGCAACGACAGCGACACTGCAACCTTCATCCGCATTCCACTGTTTACACCGATTGTTTTTGCTACCGGTTCAGCTGAAAAAAAATATTTTCGTTCTTGCTGTATGAAAAGTTGTTGAGCAGATTCGAAGTGATCACTTTTTTTCGCAAAAAAAAGTAGAAATTGGTCAAGGTAAGCTGTGTTATATCTATATTTGTATTGATTATAAGTAAACTAATAGCTCATTGGCATATTTTGAGGTTATCTATCACGGACTGACCAGTTCACATGTGTTTACAATTGCCCCAGTAAAATAAACATTGGGGTGATAGTAAACTGATTTTTGGGGGAATTGTGAATATGTTTGATTGTTTGGGGAAATTGTAAACACAATAAGACATAACCTAATCAAACCTTTGTACTTATGAGTAGAATAAATCCATTTCTTGCAAAGTATTTTGTTTTAATATCCATGGGGGAATTGTAAACATTAGTCGAAATATCATCAGTTCAAGAACGAAATCACATCGGTTTTGTTCTATGTTCACAAATACCCCCTATAAAGTTGAACAGGACTCATATTTACGACGTTTTTTTCTTCTTGGGTAATTGTAAACATCTAATATTTTGATAAATTCTCTGACCTCATTCTTGCTATGCAAATCATATATACACAATACTCCAAAAAAACCGAGAAAAAAACTGCACCCAAAAAAATTATGAGATAAATATTCAACTTTACATTTTAACAGACTTCAAATTTTCTTTTGTAAAAATCGTTTACCAATACCCCAACTAGCCCTATATCAGAAAGCAATAAGTGCTTCAATAGAACATTGGAATAACAATGTCAGTGATCAAGAAATGATATGTTTACCTGATGAAAATAATGAGGTATCACCGGATGAAACAAATAATAATAACGGCCTAAATAATCAAATGGTGTGTTTACCTGAAGTTGACACGGTGCCTCTGGTCGCTGAAAATGGTGCATGTCTCAATAATAACAATGATTGTTCTTCGATTTTATCATGCAATTACAACCATGATGATAACATGACTGATGGAAAAATGGTGTGTTCACCCAAAAATATTATTGATGTGGTGCCAATAATTACAGAAGATGGCGTGTATCTCAACCAAGGCGAAGAAGAGACAATATTTGATTGTTCGTTTCAGCAAAATGAATATCATGAACTGCTTCCACTAAATGTTCAGTTGCCTGAGGTGAGTATCTTGTGATAGAAGGGCATTATTGTATTTCGGAAAGACAATCTGATAAAATACTAATATTGCATTCTTTGATTCGATTGCAGCAGCCTGTTATATTGCCACAATCTTCCTGTATGCAATGTTCTTGTAATGGTAGAAAGGAATATTCGGAAAATGAATTCATAATTGCGGAATATTCCGACATTGCAAAAGTTAGTACCTATAGTTTATTTATTTAAAATAATGTAAATAAGCATTATGAATTTTAGAACGCTGCTGACGATGATCTTCATGCCTCTTCAAACTCCTCAGAAGATGAATATAAACCAAATTCTGACGATGAATCCTTTTTAGATGAGGTGACTAATTTATAGCTCGACCGTTTATTAATATTTCTTTCTCAAATATTTCCTAATTGAATCCTTAGGAAGATGAGACACTCATTGAGTCATCGATATATCATGATGCTAGTACTGTCAGAGCTACAGGAACTCCTAACGAAGGTATTTTTCCTATTGGAGAACGACCGGTTGTTCTAGAAGATGAAAACCATAAGGTAAGAGCTACACATTTTTCATTTAATTTTTTAGGAAACAATTAGAACGGTTTTCACAAACTTTTGTGTTTATACTATTCTGAAATAATCCTTGATTTTAGGAAAATGAGACAGAAAATTTTGCAATTCAAAATCATGAAGTTCAAAATAATGAAGTTCAATACACAAAATCTGGAGAAATACGCAAGAGAAGAAAAATTCAAGTGAAGCCCTCTGAGAGAAAACAACAGAGACACGAATCTAATAGAAATAAACATCCTGTTCTCCCACCATGCAGAAATATTTGCAAGAATAAATGTATGTCGCAATTTTCTGAAGAAAGAAGACAATATATAAATGGTCAGTTCTGGAATTTGTCTTATATCCAAAGAAGAGCATTTGCCTGGAACTCGTGTGAACGGCTAAATGGTAAAAGGCGATTGAAAGATAATGATGGTGGAACTAAATAGTTTACTTTCAAATACACATTGAAAACCCATACTGGGGAGCTCAAGCATGTATGCAAAAGTTTTTTTCTGACTACTTTGGGATATAAACCCACCAACGATCGTTTTGTTTATGAGGTGCTCTCAAAGACACCGAAAGGATCTATAACTCCATTGGAAGATAGAAGAGGGAAAAAGCGTCCTTCAAATTACATACCTAAGGACGAAATTGACGACCATATAGAATCCTTTCATCCGGTAATATAAGGACGAAATTGACGACCATATAGAATCCTTTCATCCGGTAATATCTCATTATCGTAGGGAGCATGCTCCAAATGTTCGATATCTACCAGTGACGTAACGATAAATTTCATGCACCAAGATTTTCTAGAGAAGAATCCAACGATGAAAGTATCATATAACGTTTATAGAGTTCTAGTAAAGACAAAAAATTTATCTTTTGCGAAACTTGGGAATGAAGAGTGTGAAACTTGTGAGTTTTTTAATCTCCACGATCACACCAAAGAAAATATGCTGGATGATTGCAACACGTGTGTTCTTTGGAAAAATCATATCGAGTTAGCATCAGACAGTCGTGAACTGTATAGAAAAATGACCGAAAGAAAGGAAAACAGCGAATACTTTTCAGCCGATTTAGAGAAGATCATGCTGCCATGAGTAGATACTTTTAAAAAATTCATTTTCACCAAACGCCTCACCGTGTACAACGAAAGTTTTGTGCCGATTGGAAAAAAATCTAAAACAACCCCGTTTGCTGTTCTTTGGCATGAGGGTGTCGGTGGCAGGAATCAAGAAGATGTTGTTAGTGCATTCTATGCGTTTTTTAGGCGACAGCGAGACTCAACATCTCTGACCATATGGCTGGACAACTGTTCCAGCCAAAATAAAAACTGGTGTTTTTACAGCTTTTTAGTTTATATTGTCAATTCTGCTGAAATATCTACTGAGAATATTAATATAACTTACTTTGAACCTGGCCATACATTCATGTCGGCGGATAGTTTCCACCATCAAGTGGAATTATCTTTAAAAAAACAGAGAAGAACCTATGATTTTACAGATTTTGTTCCAGCAGTACAATCTGCAAACAGTTGACATACAAGAAATGAAGCACAGTGATTTCTTCAAGTGGGCAAATCATTCTTCTCAGAAAAAATTAAAACAACCAAACCGCACATATTTGAAAAATATTGTTCAAGTAACTGCCACTCATTATAACTTACTTTTTAAAACGTCTTATGCTGTAATGGAACCTTTCAACTGCCTTGATTTTTTGACTGTAAAGGCCATAAAAAATGGTTTGAACCTTCCTGATCATTTGAATCAGCCTTGTGGATTTCCCAAAGAAAAACGAGACAATATACTGAAAAATCTTGATCAAGTTTTGCCACGAAATAGAAGAGAATTCTGGTTAAATATGCCTGTGCTCCCTAATAAATAGAGTGAACGAGAATTAAAATCACACATTATTTTTAATTTTAAGTTGAATATGTTATACTTTATCTGATAATAAAAGCTTTTGTGAAAGAAAAACATTTTTTATTTGATTTGGGTTTTTACTTAGTCTCACCATAATATGAAAGATATTATAAATCGATGAAATACTTAACAAAAATGCAGTAAGGCATTTTCCCTAAGCAAGAGGAAATTAATTAAAATTCAATACTTAAGAAGAACGCAGTATCCAGCATTTCTAGAGTAAGTAAGACAATGTTCACCAATATAATGTGTCAATATGAATTCTGTGACCTCAGTTATATGTCCAAAGCATGAATCGAAATAGAATTCTGAATAGTTTTCAATGGTCAGACATCTAAACAAAAACTGATTTTACTCCATTTTGACTTCTCTGCAGATACGGCGTTTTGGCTAAGGAGGGCAGTTATCTACTCATTATTCTGCCCTGTAGACAGACACCCCTTATCTGATTCATAACTTCAAAGTTCAAACTCACTAGCACTAGAATCTGTGACTGTATGTGAGTTGTGATGGTCGTGACGGTAACACCTGTGGAACTGTGACTGTAGTAACTGTGACTGTAGTGTGTCTAGTTCAGCTGCCATGTGGTTATCAACTCCAGCCAGCAGTTCCGAAAAATCACAGTGGAATATTGCTATCCGGAACGACTCACTCCCATGACAGATGCGGAACTGCTCAGAAATCACACGTCGTGAAATCACAACACATCTCTATTTGTGGATAACTTCACACTAATGCAAGAATTAACCACACAGGCCACCTTTCTTCAAATTTTGAACAAAAATCATAAATTATTCAAAATACAAGTGGATGGTGTTTTTCAAAGAAGGGTAAAAGATTAATATTTTTTCTAGGGGTAAACAGTGGTAGAATTCTGGTGCATGAATGACTGGGATTCCTTGGAATTCCCTTGATTTCCTTGGAATTATCTGTAATTCCTTGGGTGAAATGGGATATATTCCTGTGCTACAAACAACTGGAATTCCTTGGATTCAATTGGAATTTTTTGGATTTCCTAGTAATTCTTTGAATGAAGTGTGGTATATTGGAATTCCTTGGAAATCCTTGGATTTCCTTGGAATTCCTTAGATTTCCTTGGAAGTCCCTTGAATTCCTTGGATTTTCTTGGAATTCCTTGTGTGAAGTGCTGTATAATTCTGGTGTACAAACAACTGGAATTCCTTGAAATTCCTTGTGAAATTGAAGTTTGGTGTGCACAATTTTGATCAAAGTTTACCCCCTGTATTTTGAATTTGAAATTACAACAAAGGGCCTGGTGGGGTTAACTCTTGCTGTACACAATCATTTTCAAGTACCATCAGAGGGACACATTCATAGAAACAAACTCCCATCCACATGTATTTTGAAAAAGTTATGGAAGTGTATTGGAGTCCGAGCGCTCGGATCCCTAGTCGTTTCCGCGGTCATTTCGTATTGGGGTCCGAGCGCTCGGATCCGTTGCTTATTGGTATTTTGATCCGAGCATTTTTTCTGCAGATGGTAGTCCAAATGAAAGAAGATTTCCTTGAATAAGGTTAGGTTTGTTGTTTATAATTATGACATGCTCTTAGATGGACATGGAGTTAGCATATAAGTTCAACTCTTTCCAAGAACTTGAACGTTGTATCAAAGAATATGAATCACAAAAGTTGGTAGAAGTACATAGGAGAGATTCAAAAACCCTGGAGAATGCAATATAGAGTTACCCAAAGAGAATAGCTGCTGCTAATTCATCGCTAGTATACTATAGTATCAAATATGCATGTTTCAAAGGCGGGAAAAAAATTTAAAAGCAAAAAACAAAATGCTCACAGGAAATCAAGGTATGAACAAAATATTTCTCTTTGATATTATTGCAATGGAACATTTTATTTCAGTACTAGAAAAGAAGAGTGCCCCTTCGGATAGCTTTGTCACAGGATGGACAATCATTATTTTATTTCTTTAATTAACATTTAATAATATCATTAGATACATTTAAATAATAATTGTGAATAAGTATGTATGAATATAAATAATTATGCGTATTGAATGAAATGCTCAGTACACTATATATTATGAATTGAATACTTGTCTCATTTCTTAATGAGACAATTTTCCCTTGTGATAATTTGATATTGTTAAATATTTATTGACCTATGTACATTTATTTATTTTTTATCCTTACTACAAGGTTAACTTCGTAAGGTTTTTTCCCAGTTTATTCAAATTACCTATATGTTTATTCGAGGGGGAAACAACTCTTTCAAGTGGTGTACACCATGGAATTTTAAGTATTCAAGTATAATTTTTAATACATCAAGTACAATTTAATACGCTTTTAAGTACTTCAGTACTAAAATAATTAATTTAAATACATCTTCAGTATTTTAATTACCTTTAAGTACATTTAAGTATTTTTAGTACCAGTTTAAGTATTTTAAGTACCAAAATTTATTCTTTAAGTTTCTTTAGTACCGAGTTCAGTACTTTAAGTATCTGTTTAGTACATGAGTACTGAAAATTTAATATTTAATTACCGGAGATAATACTCGACCCGAAACTTCCCGACTGCATTGGCGCCCTTAACGACCCATGCACCGATGAACAATAAACAATTTGGTTTCATTCCCGCATTCCGTCGCTGGACATTTATCAGTGAGCACGCGTTCGCGTTATTTTCGCAATACAAAATATTTGTTTTCATAATAGAAAGAGTTCAAATTAAAATGATGGGGTTAGGAGATACTGAAGGTAAGTGATACAGTTTTACAGTTATGTTATGTAGGTGCAACATTAGATCAATTTCAGATTCCTTACCCACAATTTGACACACGTTTTTTTTACCATGCTTATTAACTCATTGAGTTGAAGAAAACTAAGAAAAATGTCACGGTCAGATCTTGTAACCAACTTTTAGACCACTTCTAATCGTCTGATTGATTTGAAATTTTGCAGGTGTTCATGATTCCGGTGACAATGCATTATGAAATTTTTGTTTTAGAAAAAAAAACAATGGCGGCTTCAATATGGCGGACAAGTTTTGTAATTATGATCCGATTCTATTCAGAATTGCTATCTGGGGGATTTCGGGGAAGAAAGTAATGATCCTTTTGTCAAAAATGAAAAATTCAAGATGGCGGCCCCAATATGGCGGACGAGTTTTGTAATTATGATCCGATTCTATTCAAAATTGGTATATGGGGGTTTTCAGGGTCGGAAATCATGATTCTTTTGTCAAAATTTAAAAATTCAAGATGGCGGCCTCAATATGGCAGACGAAATTTGTAATTATGATTTGATTCTATTCAAAATTGGTATACGAGGGGTTTCAGGATCGAAGATTATGATTCTTTCATCACAAATGAAAAAATCAAGATGGCGGCTCCAATATGGCGGACCAGTTTTGTTTTATGATCCGATTCTATTCAAAATCGGTATACGGGGGTTTTTTGGGTCGGAGATTATGATTCTTCTTTCGAAATTTATAAATACAAGATGGCGGACTCGTGGCGGACGAGTTTCGAGTTTATAGTCCGGTTCGTTTCAAATTTGATACAGGAGGTTTTTGGGGTTGTAGATTATCTCGAAAATTGTATTTTTTTGTCAAAATTCATAATAATTCCAAGGTGTCGACTCTATTATGGGGGACGATCGATTTTTGTGATTATGGTCAGATTCTATTCAAATTTGGTATGTGAGGATTTTTCGGGTTGGAAGTTTTTGCTGTTTTTGACAAAATTGAATTCAAGATGGCGGATCTAAGATGGCGGACAACTTATGTTATTTATGTTCCGATTCGATTCAAAGGTGGTATATGGGGATTTTAGGGGTTGGACATCATGATTTTTTTGTAAAAATTCGACAATTCAAGATCGCAGATTCAAGATGGCAGTCGACTTTTTGATTTATGATTCGCGGTGTCAGGCGAGTTTGTCAATTCCTGAGCGATTCACCTAATATCTATTATCACAGGGGGTTTCTGGGGTCAAGACACACGAATTCATGGGTACACATAATTTGGCGATTCAATATGGCGAAAGAGTTGGCCAATTATCTTTCAATTTACCAAAAACTGTATTCTGGGTTGTTGAGGTCGAGAAACACAAGTTTTTGGCATTGAAATTCATAAATATGCACAGTTAGAAATAGAAATCCGAGAAACAAAAACAAAGCATCAATCAAAACTTTCTCTGCCTTTTTAGAAATGTCTCAAGAAATGTGGCGTCACATTCAGAAGGAGTTTGGGATTCAATTGCCAGAGTTTATGACTAGTCTCCTGATTATGAATGGATATGATAATAAAGTGGCATTAGCGAACATTTCGGAAAGTGATATACATGAAATAGAAATATTTGCTAGGGAAACTCTACCAAAAATCATAGATATAGATGATGTTCAGACTAGAAAAAAATATTATGGCATATTTTTCAATTCTTGTGAGAATTTTATGATTCCCCGTGGCTACAGAAAAAGACTACTGAAACTGGGAGAACTTTTTGATACTGAATTAAAAAATCAGGCAACAACAACTCAATCAGTGACCACTGAAAGCTCATCGAATAAATCTGCTTCTCCAGAAAAAAAAAGATCAAAACATCGTTCAGTGATAAACGAGGTAATAAGTCCGCATTAGAAAAATCCGAATGTAAAAATAGCGACCTCGGCGATAACGACAAACTGGTAGAAGAGTTTAAAATAAATGATGAGCGACTGAAACTGAATAAAGCTTTAATGAAACACATTCACAGTCTGGAAGAAAAAGAAAATATAACTTTTGATAGGCAGAACATTGATTTCAATGCAAGAGTAGTCTTGGCATCAAGTAGCAATAGTAGTAACACTATTGCAACGGGATATATATCATGTTTCATATGCAATGGAGAAATCAAAGTTTCGAATAGTGTTGTTGGTAAAAGCACCTACTGGGTACTGTCAAATTTTTATAAACATATTAAAAATCATATTTCGAATAAAAAAGAAAAAACCGAGGAAAAAACTATTCCGCAAACTTTGGACAAATTTTTGATTAAACAAAAATGTAGTCAGCACATGGAAAAATCATCTGGCGATGAACAAATTTCCCATCAGCAGCCTACCTTAGATATCGAGGCAGATGTGTCATGTTTTCCAGGAACATCTATTTCTGGCATTACTGAAACCCATTCAAGCATTTCTGGAGAGCAGGAAGATCTGGCTTTGGAATCGGAAAATTCAAATTTTTAGGATGCAGAGATGTCATAAATGAGACACCAGACATTCTCTGCATCACATCAAATTTGAACTTGTCTCAATCAATATCAACAGTCGATTCGACATCTAAATGGAGAATGAAAAAATTCAGTCGGCAAGAGAGACAAAAAAGAAAGAGAGATAATGCTTCGGTCAGTAAGGGTCAATCCATACTGACCACATTTTATTTGGTGATTCCAAGAATGAATGAATTCATGGAAGAACTTCCAGATGAAGTGAATAAAGATTTCTCGAATAACATTGGGAATTATTGTACAACAAACTCTAAAGCTCTCGAATTATTGCTGAAAGCCGCCGAAAAAAATGCTCAAAAAAAAACCGGTAAGAGATTCGATGCAGAAATAAAACTATTTTCCACCTATTTATACCTTACTGGTGGCTGTCTCCTGTATGAAACTTTGTACAACAACTTCAAAGCTTCATTACCATCGCTCTCCACAATCAGACAAAATCTTCAAAATGACTACAACTTATGTGAAGGAAAATTGCGGTTTATTGAGTTGAAAGAATACCTTCTGAAACACAATTATCCATTGGATGTATGGATCAGCGAGGATGCTACTGCCATTACAGGTATAGTAATTAGCCCCACGAGCCTCTCTTTCAGTAATATATAGCAAATCGCCCCTTCAAAATTTGTTTTTCAATTATTTCTGAGAAAATTTGCATTTGCTGCCAGATGAGTAAATGTTTATTGTTTTTTCCACCACTAGCATTATTTACTCCTGGGCGTGAAGTGTGTTTCTTTACCAGGGTTGTTTTTATCATTTTATGAACTACCTAGTACTTCTTGAAGCCATTGCCACCTATTATTATAAACCTGAATTCACTGCCCTGATGCGAAGTTCGCAGCTATGGCAGTCGAAAGTTGTTAATCAATAACGAGGAGAGAAAATCCCAAAAAACCTGGAACAATGAATGACGTTTATGACTATAATATATCATGTTGCCGATTATGACTACTAATTAATTGTAGGGAGTGCTTTCATAGTTGCGACAATAGGTTCAAGAGAACTATAATGTTTGAAATATATTGCTATAGTGGTGGAAAAATCTAATATACATATAATTATAGAAGATGCCAAAGAAAAAGCGATAGGATATTGTGGACTACTTGGAATTCCTTCCTTGAATGAGGAATGGATGAACATATCGATCCCTAATGTACAATGTAATGTTTCAGTAAATTAAACTGATTACATACTTGATTAACTAATATAAAATTTCAGCACAAGAAAAAAATCTTTCGCATAATTTGAATGAGACACCAGGAAGGAAAAATAATCTCGGTAATGATACAATGATGGATGATATGGAAGATGATCAGAATATTTTGAATGATATGGAAGATGATCAGAATATGTTAAACATGGATTCTGACACCAATAGAGAAACAAATACGTTTTCAGGTAAACAGCAATATACCCACATGACAAGTTATATTGATTTCTACATACATACGGGGTGGTCCAATTGAAACAGTTCATCTAAAATATTTTCAATGGAGTTTTTTCCGAGGGTTTTTCCGTACCCCGATACAAGTCGATTTTGCATCCAAGGGGGACTTCTTCCGATCGTGAATATATATGTTATTATTCCCATGAACGGGGTTGCAACCTCTCAATAATCTAAAATGGCACATAATTTTGAAAGGTATTTCTGAGGGTATCTCAATCCTATGACAAACACGCTGATTTTTTTCGTTCTGTGTCGAAATGAACGTAAAAACATGTTGGAAGTATCGGTGAAAACAAAGACTTGAAATAATATTCAACTGCGAAAAACTAAATTGGTGGCGTTTTTTTTATGATTTTACAGGTGCCTAGTTGTGTTCCATTTACATATATTAGGTGGACTTTTTTAATTGGGCCACCCTGTATAAGTTTTCGTTCATACAAAGCGCTCACTTATATACTCCTTTCAGAGTATTCTGATGATCACCACGAGGGCTCGCCTGAGGATGATGTGTTGCTGAAAGAATTGAAGGATGTTAATCTCAATTTGGTTGATTACTCTACACCTTTTCCAATTGTAATTCAGAAAGTGTAACTTGTAATTCAGATTAGTAAAATGTAAGTCAGAAATTGTAATTTGTTATTCAGAATAATTAATTGTAATTCAGAAAGCGTCAATTGTAATTCAGATTAGTCAATTGTAATTCAGAATGCATAACATGTTATTCAGATTAGTTGAATGTAATTCAGAAAGTGTAACTTGTAATTCAGAATAGTCAATTGTAATTCATATAGTGTAATTTGTAATTCAGAAAGTATCGCTTGTAATTCATAAATACTATGGACTTAAATAAGGGTAGGGAATAGAAATCAACGAATGGTTCATTGTCTGGTGAACATCAATATTTCATATTTATCGACCAACGGGCATATCTTGAAATGCCAGAGCTGCAGCATGATGAATGGTGGTGACCTCAAGGAGAATGGATGCATACCAATTGTTCCTAGTTCCTGAATCATAAGTGATACTTACTGAATTACAAGTTATGCTTTCTGAATTACAATTGACGGTTTCTGAATTACATTTCACTATTCTTAATTACAAGTTCCACTTCCTGAATTACATTTCAGTAATCTGAATTACATATAACGCTTTCTAAAATACAATTAACTAATCTGAATTTCAAGTTATACTTTCTGAATTACAATTGACTATTCTGAATTACAACTTATACTTTCTGAATTACATCTCATACTATCTGAATTACAATTGAAAAAGGTGTAGTCGCACTTTGAAGAATGAAAGATGTTATGTGACTATATATAATAACACGAAAGAAATTACTGTTAAGAAAGGCACTCTCTGTTGGCTCTTGGACAACAAAAACCCTCGACTGAGTACTGACAGACTAGAGCGAGTCAGGGGTCCTAAATGTGCGAGCGAAGTTTTGTCTCGAGTTTTACCAAAAAAAGCCCCAGCTACCAAAGAAAGAAAGAGGCGATCATCAGGAACAAGTACTGGAAGTGTATCACTGTCATCACCCTCCTATGCAGATAGTGACGAGAGTGAAACATTTTCCGACTTGGAAAACGATAAATCCGCGGGTCCGGAAGAAACAGGAGACGTGTTTTTTTTTCCCGAGAAATATTATTCCGTTGCATACAAAGAGAATTGGTATATTGGAAGAATTTTAGAAATTACCAACAATGGGTTGGTAATTAAATTTCTCAAATACGACTTAGACAAATATATTTGGCCACAGTCAGAAGACATTCAAACTGTAGAGGAACGGTATGTTTTTCATGGCCCTGTTGAACTGAAGGGCACATATCCTTTTAATATTGATAGGACTACAAAATTAATTATTGAGAAGAAATATAAAGAAATTAAGAGGACATTATTTTAAAATTTACATGTACCTACCTCCTATGTTGTGTGATATTTTAAGTTCCTGATGAGATTTGTGTTTATTTTATTAGCCGTTTTATAGGTTCAGTACCTGATTTTTTGTTTTGTTTTCGTTCGAATATGTGATATTAAATAGAGGATAGCCAAAATTTGGAATTATTATTTGTAGTAAGTAGCACCTTAACCGTCCATAATAATCACAGACAGCATTATAAAAATATCCTAATTTCTCTAGATTTATTGGGATTTTCTTTCCTCCCTTTCCTTTGAACGTTTCAAGAATGAATCGGCTATTGTTATCAACATTAAAATAGAACATCTTCTCATTGCAAATTTTCACTGTGTTTTGTCATTAGTCTCTCCTCACTGGAAAGTGTCCATGGGATAACTTTGAAAACGAGAGCAGATTCGTTTCTGAAACGTCTATAACTCAAAAGGAGGAGACAAAAGCACAAAAAACTGTAGAAATCAACATTCAACCAACTCGATCAACATAAAACAGAAATTATCACTATTATTATACCTTCAATTACTTAAATAGGTACTGAATAATATTAGATCTATTATCATTTAGTATTTTTAGTATGTGCTATTCCTAATTTGATTACTTTTAAGTACATTAAATACTTTTTAGTACATTTAGTACTATTAAATATTTTTAAATACTCTTCATTAAACTTTAAGTACTTTTAGTACCTGTTTATTACTTTGAGTACCTTAAGTACTAGTTTTAAGTATTTTAATTACTTTTTTACTGAATTTAAGTACCAGATATTTAAATATGGTGTACACAATTTGGGTAGTTGTTTCCCCCTCGGGAAAGTTATTATTGCCAAATTTTCAGGACTCACTTCAACTTATCATTTCACAAACCAAGAAAGGACCAGTGCCCAACTTGCACTGCATACCAATCTGCTAATCCTGAAACAAAAGTCACACTTGAAGAGAAGTATAACCTTCACATTGATTTGAAGAACAGGGCTAGGAAGGAGAAAAATTCAGACAAGACTGCCGCGAGATCTGATAATGAGAGAGTACATTCATGTAATTTTGATCTACAACAGGTATTGTATGTTCCAACAGACGCTACAAATCCCACTCTTTTCTATAAAACAAAGTTAGCTATGTATAATTTCACCATCTTCAACTGTGGTGATAATACAGGAAAATGCTACATGTGGACTGAGGTAGAAGGTGCTCGTGGACCTTGTGAAATTGCATCATGTTTATTCCATCATTTGAAGAGCCTGTCTGCAACTACTAAAGATGTCAGATTATTCAGTGATACATGTGGAGGTCAGAATAAAAACCAATATGTGGCTGCTATGTTCATTTATGCAGTACAGGTTTTATCAATAGAAGTCATAGATCAAAAGTTCCTCATTTCAGGACATAGTCAGATGGAATGCGATTCAATGCATGCTCGTATTGAAATCGCTTCTAAAAATAGACCAGTATATCTGCCACATGAATGGATGACCATTGCTAAGAATGCGAAGCAAAATGAACCCAAATATCAAGTTTTTGATAAGAATCAAATTGGTTTCCTTGACTGGAAAGCTCTAGCAAAAATGATCATGGTAAATCGCAACAAGGATGAAAATGGAGACACATTAAACTGGCATCATATTAAATGGATAAGGTACGAAAAGCAGAGTCCTTTGGTCATGAAGGTGAAAACTGTATTCCATGAAGATTTCCGTTCGATCTCTGTTGTCCCACGTAGAGGTCGCCGAGTCACTATTAATGCCATGGAGAAATGTTTAAAACCTCTACAGGAACAGAAAAGGAAAATTTCAGCAATGAAGCTAAAGCACTTAGAAGAAATTTGTAAATCTGGTGGGGTACCAGATGACTGCAAACAATTTTTCAGCAGTCTGATTGCTGATGAGGATGTACAAGACCAAACTCTTATTCCAGATGTCAATGATGATGAAGATCATGAATTTTTTTCTCAATAATCTACGAATGTTTGGATTAAATTTAATGTCTATCTTATATTATGAATAAAAATGTTTGTGTCAAATATGGCTATCTGACTTTTTTTTTCAAAATTCGTGTGACATAATGTCTCAAAATGTTATTAATGACGTCAATGTACGAAGATATACTGAAATATACCCTAACATATTATTCATGGAATAGTTCAAACTCATATTTTGAAATTCGATTTGATGGAGCCGTCCGAAGTTTGAAAATCGTTTCCTGAGAATTCACGATTTAGTAGATAGCCACCTATGGAATATAACCATCGAAATGTTGTTCAACTCTTGAAAAGTAAATCTCCATATGTAGAAGTCTTAGTAAATGAAGACAACATTTTGGAAGGAATATATTTTCAAGATGAAATAATGAAAAATAACTTCAAAGCATATCCTGAACTTCATGCTATGTGAAAGTAATAGATTTCTAGAACATAACGAAGATATTGATTTGTTCAACACCACCATAAAAAAAATCAAGTCGATTTACTCACAGTAGTCATCCTTACTCATGTATAAATATAGAAATTTTAATATGTCAATTTTAATATGTTATGAAGTTTGTGTATGTTGTGATCATGATGTATGATCTTATGTGCATTCATGTACTTATTTTAGCTTTAGCTTAGTGTAGGTCTAGGATAGTGTTGTCTCTGTTTTTTTTTTACCTTGCATGTAATTACCCCTTTGGGGTGTTTGTAAGAAGTACATAAAATAAAAAATAAAAAATAAAATAAAATAATTCTGATGGATGCAACTTATGAATTGAATAATTTGAAAATGCCACCATATATCATTCTCACTATAAATGGAAATGGACAGGGTCAAGTTGCCTGCACATTTTTATTAGCAAATGAAAATTAAGATACCATTGGACATATGGTGAAAATATTCAAAAAATTCAATGATGAGTGGCAAAACGTCAATACTATTAAGACTGACAAAGATTTTAAAGAAAGGAAAGTGTTGGCAGACAATTTTCCAAATGCTCACATAACTTTGTCTTTGTTTCATACTTTGAAGTGAACGAACATAACATGTGATAAAATGAAAATAAATTCTAGTCAAAGAACACTTTGCCTCAAATTGTTACAAAAAATCACATGATACAGAGTATGAAAATAATCGGGAAGCATTACTTAGTACAGGTTGTAGTAAAGTGATTGATTATTAAAACAAAAATTGGCACCCCATTAAAAATGAATGGGTTGAGGGAATGAAACATAAAAATCTCACATTTGGTATTAGTACAACTAACCATCTAGAATCACTTAATCAAAAAATTAAGCAAGTCTGAAGTTATATCAAATAATATGACTAATTTTCTAATAGAACCAGAAGTGAACTTAACAATAATTGAATAACATTTTTCCAAAACAACTTTCAGTAAATTAAAGGAGATAATCAAATATCTGAAGGAGAAACAAGATATCCAATATTCTTGTGCAATTTGTGAAAATAATTCAACTGCATTATCTGTAAAATGTGATGGTTGTTTATTATGGGTTGATTTTTCTTGTTCAGGTTTAACTAAAAAACCAAGAAAAAATCAAAATTGGTTTTGTGTTAACTGTACCCATCAGTGATTTATTGATATGAATATAATTATACTTTTTTTTAGTTAGGTAGGTAAAACATATTCTAATCAACCTTGTGTAGGTATTATTAGTGATATGAGAATACATTACCAAAGAAGTCTCTGTTTAGTTTATGAATATTTTGTTTTGTTTTGAAAATATATTTTTTATTTTGTGAGGTAATATATTCTATTCAACCTTGTAGGTATTAGTGAAATGAAAATATGTTATACCAAAGAAGTCATTCAGTTTATTTATGAATAGATTCTATTCAACCTAGTATTAGTGATATGAAAATATGTTACCATGTTACCTACCAAGAAAGTCTTGATTTTTGTTTATAAATAGGTTGTTTTGTTTTGAAAATACATGTTTTTTTCTGTGACGGGAAAAAAGTTTGGCATTTCATCTCTGTTAGCAGGTTATAAAATGTCACTTTTCATAAATTACTTTTTTCCCGTGGGAAAAAAGTGAGTACTTTTTTCCCGGATATATATCACATATATATACTCTGTTAATGGCTTTTGTTGTGCTATAGTTCCGAAAAATGAGTCAATAATACCGTCTCCGAGAACGAACTGCAAGTCCTTTTATCTTCCATTCGACTTCGCGGTTCGTATATTACTAAACAACTACTGAATTCGCAATTTTTCGAAATCAAATCACAGAATTGAACTGACAGAAGTGACATCAGATATTTGATTACTTCAAAAGAATGATAAAGATGCATATAAAACGCAGGTGTCCCTACTGTTAAAAACTTGAAATTTCACGTCGATAAATTTCAGATTTCGAAATAATGTGATATCTTCTCAATATTGATTCGTCCTTCCTTCTGTCACAGAAAAAAATAGTGTATCATACATGGGAAAAATATTAGATTTTAGCTCACGGTTTTTTGTCTCCCTCCGCTACGCGTCGGGAGACAACACAACCTGGAGCTAAAATCTACTACTTTTTTCCCTTGTATAATAAATAACTATTATTTTGAACCATAGTTTCATTGTTTGCACAGTATTAGTGAAACAAGATGAGGATATGCTATGTCCTGATATGCGCTTAAGGAATTGGACTATCATCTGCAGATTGCAGAAGTGCTCTGATCAAAATTCCAATAAGCCATGGATCTGAGTGCTAGGACACCAATAGGAAAAGACCTGGGATCCAAGCAATCAGACACCAATACACTTCCAAAAGTTATGCTAGGGAATCCAGAGCCAGGATCAGTTTTGTCTCCTAATGAAGCAGGTTTGCCTGAACATAAGATAAGAGATATTCTAGGTGATATTCACAAAAATCATAATAGTTATAGAAGTTCAGCAGACATCAACATGGAATCACAGGTTGAGAGTAGAGGCATTCAGGGAGACATAATTATGCTGAATTTAAACCTATGCCAACTAGAACTACCAAGTTTCAAGTATTAAATAGATTCCTTCAACCTTCTCTATCACTATGAAGGAAATAATACATTAACCTCTTGTCAGAGATAATTGATGTTCTGGAGAGTTTCAACTGCTGATTCCTGCATAAATCTACTTTTTAAAGACTTACCATTCATGAAATATATGCTACAGACTCTCTGACAGGTAATTCATTTTTGAATCAGTAAGATCATCTCATTCAATGTCAGATAACCCTTATTCTCTTTTCTTCCTGGACAAGTCACTTCCACTGGGCAAAAACTTGTGGTTTAAGATCTTAGGGACCCAGTAAACCCCCCTGTATTCCTGTCATGGCAAGACCCACAAACATTCTAATATGATGCATGTATGGGGCATTTTTTACTTCAGCAAGTAAAAAAGCTCTCTACTGTGGCATAAGGTCCAGAACAGGCAAGAAACAAGTCTTGCAAGCACAGGAAATCACAACAGTTAGACATATATTTTAATTTGAAGCACAAATGATTGTCTATAATCAAAAAAACAAGTCAAACGCACAGGAAATCACAGTTGATGTGAAGTTATCCACGATTTTCTAGCCACGCTTTATGACGTGTGGCGTGTGGACTGTCGAAATTGGGATAGAGGAGATTTCGTGTGCAACGTTGCCAAACTTCCCAGCCACGCTTTTCGAACAGGGAAAAATCGATTACTTCAGTTATAGGTCTTTATTTTTTCAACATTCATTTTCAAATAACGGTTACTAATTGGTGTGCACTCAACTTCGTTAATAATGGATGTGCGTTCATGAATTTTTCGCCAGAATCTCTAGAATAACTCTATATACGTATTCAGAAACTGAAATGAATTTGCAGTGCCGTAGGAAAATTAATAAAAAATATAATCTGTCATTATTCAGAAAAAATCATCAACAATGACAGATTATATTTTTTATTGATTCTCCTACGGCACTGCAAATTCATTGAAGTTTCTAAATACGTATATAGAGTTATTCTTGAGATTTTGGCGAAAATATCATGAACACACATCCATTATTGACGAAGTTATTCAGAAAAAACCATCAACAATGACAGATTATATTTTCTAAAAATTCTCCTACGGCACTGCAAATTCATTTCAGTTTCCAAATACGTATAAGGAGTTATTCTAGAGATTTTAGCGGATGATTCATGAACGCACATCCATTATTAACGTAGTTATTTAGAAAAAATCATCAACAATGACAGATTATAGTTTTTATTTTTCTCCTACGGCACTGCAAATTCATTTAAGTTTCTAAATACGTATATAGAGTTATTCTAGAGATTTTGGCGAAAAATTCATGAACGCACATCCATTATTAACGAAGGTATTCAGAAAAAACCATCAACAATGACAGATTATTTTTTTTATTAATCCTCCTACGGCACTGCAAATTCATTTCAGTTTCTAAATACGTATATAGAGTTATTCTAGAGATTCTGTCGAAAAATTCATGAACGCACATCCATTATTAACGAAGTTATTCAGAAAAAATCATCAACACCCAGATAACACAGGATATCCTATGGATATCCTTCTCAAGTGTATTTCAGGTCGGGATATCCTGGGACATGAAATGGATATCCATAGGATATCCGTCAGAGGATATCAAATGGATATTCTGATGCGGATCACCTATGGACGTCCATAAGATGTTCGTTTAGCGAACAAAAATTGTTAATTGAGAATGGTTCAAAACAATACGAATCATCACAAATATCACATGCAAATCACATGTTTATTAGAAATTCAAAGGTAGTTTTCCATCATATAACTATTGTTATGTAGGTATAATATGTTTATAGCCACAATTAAGATATCCGATGCAAATATGAATTCATATAAATAACAACACCACAGTTTGGAATTTTTCTCTGTTGTTCAATGTTTTCGTACAAAAATATACAATCACTCGAAAATAGCTTTCATATATTCACTTTTTTGTGGTCTTCAGATGGACATCCATGAGATATTCATCCATGGATTTATAGCGGATATCCATCAGAAGATATCTTATGGATAGCCATAAGATATCCAAAGAAAACATAAAATCATATTTATGTCAAAATAACTTTTGTTCTTCAACATTTTCGCACAAAAATATGATTTTTCAGAAATAACTTGTATCTCCATTTTTTTCCTTGGGATTGAGATAGAAATCCATATAAGAAGATATATTCGCATCCCTGAATTCAAAACTGGGTAGGTATTTTCCCAATGGATAGTAATAAAATATTCTGAAGCAATGAGATATAAATCAATATGGCATTCGCGTGAATGACAAATTTTTCAAAAGAAAGATGGAAAAATCTAAATGAATCTAATTCTTGAATTCACCTCAACAGCATTTCGGAAAATAGCTTCATTGTTGCGCTAGGGATAACGCGATTCAAATCCGGCCACCTCGCCTCCTCTATTTATCTCTCAAAAGATTGAATTCAATTCGAATTAACCTCCATGGCTAGAATCGTTCTGATTGGTCTAAAAATGCATCCATGTCGAAAGTCATGGTAAATTGAATTCTTTCATGAGGTATGAGCTAAAGCTTAGGGTGGTTCACTCCTATAACTTTTTCATTATTGTAGGTAGTAAAACGTCAATTGGGGTCATGAATTATAGTTCATTTTATATTATTCGACATATCTACTTGCTTTACCGCACTTTTGGTTTAACCGAGGATGGCATTTTCAAACGGGACACCCTGTATTTTATTCCATAATCTGTTAAGGATTATCATAACGAATTCAACGATACTGTGTTTGATAGGATTTCTACAAACGATCAGAAAGATATTCACATTTCCATATCCTCAATGAGCATATGAAAACTTCGAATGCCATATCTTCGTAATCGTTTGAAATAACCCTATCCAATCCGGTACCGTTGAATTCGTTATAATAGTTCCTAATTCATTATGGAATAATATACATGGTGTTCTATATTGTTAAGGATATTTAGTTAAATATCCCTGAAAAATATCTCATGGATATTTGTGAACAATATCTTATGGATATCCCTGAAAAATGTCTTATGGATATTTGTGAACAATATCTTATGGATATCCCTGAAAAATGTCTTATGGATGTCTCTGAAGGATATCCTATAGAAGTCTGTTGGTTATATAAACTATTACAGTTTTATTGGTTTTATTGGAATAAAAGTTCTCGAAGAAAAATACATCAAACTTAGTACAATGAAAGAAAAAACAGAACTAACTATTGACACTTCTCATACGTCAAGTGTCAAAAATCAAGTCACTTGTCCTCGTCTTCTTCTGCCTTTTTTAATCGGGAAATAGAGTACATAGGATCGGCCTAAGTTGTCGGTATAAATATCAACAATACTTTCAACACTCCCACTTATTTTTACCGGCAAGAATGCTTAATTTATCTCTCAAGTGAGAAAATTGCTGCTTTGATAAAGCCTTTGTGAGAATATCAGCAAGTTGTTCGGATGATTGAACATATTGTATGTCTATGTCACCTCGCTCGCGCACCTCGCGTGTAAAATGGTATCGCACGTCAATGTGCTTAGAACGTTTGTGGTATTCTGGATTATTCGCTAATTTAATTGCAGATTGGTTGTTCACAAACACCGTCACACAGTCTATAATCGTCCCTAGTTCACAGAACATTGTCTTTATCCAGATAGCATCCTTTACTCCATCCGCGAGTGCGATATACTCTGCCTCTGTAGTTGAAAGAGAAACTATACTTTGTCTCTTACTGGACCATGTAATGGGGCCACCATAATACATGAATACAAAACCGCTCGTTGACCGACGAGTATCAACGCATCCAGCATAGTCTGCATCGGTGAAACCTACCAAGTCACTCCCACTGCTTCCATACACTATCCCATAATCAATGGTTCCCTTCAGGTACCTTATGATTTTCTTTACGGCCTGCCAATGATCTTCTCTAAAATCATTGAGATATTGACTTACTTTGTTTACAGAAAATTCAATGTCAGGGCGAGTAAGTCGTGCTAAGAAAAGTAAAGAGCCCACTGCTTCCCTGTAGGGGATCCGTTTCACTTTGCTTTCTTCCTCAACTGTCATTGGACTGGATCCTTTGGCTAAATGTATCCCAGGATCGGCTGGAACAGCAGATACTTTAGCTTCATTCATGAAGAAACGATTTATGACTTTCTTAGTATAGGCTTTTTGAGAAATTTTTATTTCTCTTGTTGCCCTATTTCTTTGGATCTCCAAGCCTACGAACTGTGTAGCTGGTTCAATTGTTATTTGAAACACTTGTTTCAGATATGACAAGACTTTATTAATGCCATCTACTGATTTTGACATTAGAAGCCCATCGTCCACATACAGGGCCAGAAAAACCAATTCTTGATTCAGCTTACCAACAAAAACACAGCTATCACTTTTGATTGGTACAAAGTTGAAATTCTTCAGAAAATTCACAAATTTCTGATTCCAGCAACGTGGACTCTGCTTCAAGCCATATAAACTACGCTGAAGTTTACATACAGCATTTTGTTCACTGTCTGTTTCATAGCCTGGAGGTTGTTGCATATATAACTCCTCTTCCAGATCACCATTTAGAAATGCGGTCTTCACGTCGAACTTGGCAATTTCTAGGTCATCTCTTGCTGCTAATGTCAATAAAATTCTTATTGATTCATAACGGACTACTGGGGCGAAAGTTTCGAAGAAATCAACCCCTTCTCTTTGAGTGAAGCCCTTTGCTACAAGACGGGCTTTACATTTCTGGATATTTCCGTCCATATCTGTTTTTAGGGTGTACACCCATTTACAGCCAATGGGCTTTTTATTTGCGGGAAGTCTCGTTAAATTCCACGTTTGATTTTCTTGTAGTGCTTGAATTTCCTCATTCA